CAATGATGGCGCTGGCGAGGGGGGGGGGCGATCACGGATGTTCCGGCGATAGTGGGGGGTGGGGAACCATCACGCAAGTTCCCGGCGGCGGCGGGTGGGGTTGGGGAAGCAGCACTTCCAACAACTCTGGGTGGAAGGCCGGCCTCGACCACGCACCGCAGGGATGGGGTGTCGACCCCATTATTTGACCCAGCGATTCTGCAAGTGATAACAACTATAATTACAGTCCTCCCACCTCGAGTGATGACGGAGGTGATGGGGGCGGGGGCGGGGGTGATGATGATGACGAGTAGGTTATGTTAGGTCTTAATTTTTTTTACATGTTTTTCTTTTATGATCGGCTTCTTCTTCTTCTCCTTCTTCTCCTTCTTCTTCTTTCATTCCTTATCCTTCTTTTTCTTCCATTCCTTATTCTTGTTCTTCTTTTCCTTCTTCTTCCATTCCTTATCCTTCTTCTTCTTCCATTCCTTATTCTTGTTCTTCTTCTCCTTCTTCTTCTTCCATTCCTTCTCCTTCTTCTTCTAGTTCTTCGGTGCATGGCGATTCTGAAAATTAATGGTTACAAATTTGCATTCAATTCATACTTCAATTGCGAAATATAGTGATGGCATTGAATACGCGTCCATGTGTCAATATCGATTGATTGATAACAACGTTTTTGTAATGTGTTTGGTTTGTTTGTTCTTTTTTTCGGTGTTTTTTTTTTTTTTTTTTTTTTTTTTTTTTTTTTTTTTTTTTTTTTTTTTTTTTTTTTTTTTTTTTTTGTTGGATTTCTTGATGACTTGATCAATCGTTTCTTATTGCCTTGGAGACCAGCTCCATCATCCAGGGTCTGGAAAGAAGGCAAGGGGTTTGACTTTGACGGCTGCCATGGACTACAACGTCCAACTATAAAACCTTTAAAACGCAAAGGATAACAAGAGATTTGCCTTCTCTGATAAAAACATAATCTGTTTAACCCTTGCGCGCGGTCACAGTAGGCCGAGTGAGACACTTAAGACATATGTATTTACATATATACAAAGGGTTGTAAATATGTGACGATCACTTCTCACGATCACCGTGAGACTCCTCTCAGCCACATATATGTATATGATCGCGAATAATCATATCCAAAGTCTGAAGCCCCAAACATACATGCAATCACATCAAAGATTCAACCAAAAAGTTCATGCACTACATGGGGTTAACTTCAACCATTCTCTGTGCTCATACCCCTTGCTTTAGCCACACAAACCTCAACCTTAGCCAACCCTTCCAGCAATAAAATATTCAGTACCTTTGTTAAATGGCCAGTCAATAAAATTTTGGTAAGAACACAATGAAATATTTCAAACCACAGGGCTGAAGTCTTTAGGTTGAGTGGTAAGAGTGGATTGAAGTTGAATCGTAAACCGATGAATCGGCATCCGACATGTTATCAATGATAACAGAAGATGATCCTCGTAGGATCGAGCTGAATCTAGCCCAAGTTTTGAATCGAAACGATCAAGAGGATCTGTAACATAAGACAGATCATTCACCAAGCTAAAATCATAACTGTATTGGGGAATATAACTCCATAACACATTCTCATCCAAGATCCTGCTACAAGTTAAGCCTAGACCCGCTTCTAATTCAGTGTCCAACGCAAGACAGACCTATGGCAGCATTTCCCGTATTCAGGGTGGATTGCCAGAATCGCCACCTGTCAAAATATAATCTGACTCCTTTAAACTAAAAAAATTTCGGCAGCGCTTCCCGTAGGAAAAATGTCTTTCCAAAATTTATATCAGCCTGAATATGAAGACAGAAATAATCTTCACCTTTTCAAAGTTCAATTTCGTCGAACTCCTTGAATTAGCAAAAATTTTGGTAGCACTCCTTTTAGAAAATGAGACTGACCAGATTTTTACTAAGTCATATATAAAATCTAAACAAGTTGAACTTTTAAAGCTCAAATTTTGATTGACTTATTGGATTAGCAGAAATTTCGGCAGCGCTTCCTGTAGAGAAAGTAGCTTACCAAAATTTATACAAAGCCAAGTATAACAAAAGATCCCAGAAAATGCGATAATTGATCTAAGTAAAATAAAGTTAGCTCAGAAATGCAGAAATTTGAATTAACTCCTATTGCTCTAGCACGTGGCGAGCCTCTAAAGCAACTACCTGTCAACCTGAAACTCAGACTAAGTAGTGATCTCACTCAGCCACATGCAAGGCCAAACCACAATGGTAAGTACTCTCACCAACCCAAATCACCTTTGACAACCAATAGTTTAAAGTCTTTCAATGATTTATCCCTTTATACCCAACTTACATAGGGCATCGAGTTAGACCATTCATCTTAGAAACAATGTCAACTCTTTGCCTTAGTTATACACGAATATGTTGCACAATTACTTTTCTCTTCATTGGGCACATGACTAAGCTATTCGTCTCAGAAACAATGCTTAGTCGCCCTGATCTGTTTAAAGTTATATATAATTCTCTACGTTTAATCTTCAAAAATGAGCGCAGGACGGAGCCAATCATCTTAGCAACAATGCTCAGTCGACCCAAGTTACCTTCAATTATAGTTCTTAGTTATACTCTCTCAATTTGTGATAAGGCTAAAGTCAGACTATTCGTCTTAGAAACAATGTCTGGCTAGCCTTATTCTTATAAACATATAGATATAGACATATAGAAAGTCATATTATTTTTTTCACATTATAATCCTGTGACCTCAGACTTAGACCATTCATCTTAGAAACAATGTACAGTCTTTGGTCTGAACCTCCTTCAGAATAAAACAACCAAAAAAGTTGGGTTATTCGTCTTAGTGACAATGCTCAACCCTCTTTTCTAAGCATTGAAAAAAAGATAGAGTACCCTGGGGCAAGACCCAGAGATTTTTAAGAGGAACCACCCAAAGTAAGCAGCGACCAGACCATTCATCTTAGAAACAACGTCTGGTCCTCAGAGTTCAAGCAATCAATACCCTATAAAATAAACAGTCAGGCCATTCGTCTTAGAAACAATGTCTGGCTAAATTAAATAAACATAGCGACCACGCCATTCGTCTTAGAAACAATGCTTGACCCTTCAGAAAACAGAACAAAACACAACAGTCAGGCCATTCATCTTAGAAACAATGCCTGACCTTATAAGACCCGTTCAAACACAAGCAAAACTGCCTTCCTCCCAACCTTCCCCCTGATGCAACCCCCTTTCAGAATCTGCTTTCAGACAACCAACAAAACTGAAACTAAAATTGCGCAAGCATTCTTTTACGTAATCTGGTTCATGTCCTGAAAGTCAAACTGAAAGTCAAAGTAGGGGTGCACTCAATACACTCAGTCAATTACATAGAAAAATGTATATATATGGGTTATAACTGGGTTTATAAGGGAGAGCAATGGTTACCTCCGAGTTCCCTGCCTCCATAACTCCTCCTGAGTTCCGGCAGAGCTCCCGCAATCGGTGGGTTGACTTCCCACAGAGTCTTAATGCGGACCTGCGAGTTGCAATTCCGCCTGCCACCTTCTTCTTAGAACCGATAGACTAGACTTAGAGTAAGACGGGTATAAGAAGAAAGTTTGAGACTCTCATATACAAGAGGGGTGCTCTCAGACTTGCGCCAACTGTCAGAACCTCCCCCCAAATGATGAAATACGTTCATTCATTCTATGAGAAGCTTCTCACATCTTAGAAAACCCCTGGTGATTCGACCATTGATCAAGAGTGGGAGGATTTCGTATGACAATCTACCCATCGACTTATTTCTGATGCAGAACAAGAACAACCGGAACAACTCATCACACTCGAGGAATTAACTGCAGCAATGAAGGGCATGGCTAAAGGGAAATGCCCTGCCCGGATGGAATCCCAGTAGAATTCTACGATATGTTATGGAACCTACTAGGACCGTACATGGTCGGGGTTTTGAACGAAGTCTTAAATGACCATAAATTAGGGCCCCGGTACCACAAAAGGGGTCATCAGCTGTGTATCTTTTGAACGGAGAACGGGCGAAATTCAACGGCCGTTCATCCGTTTAACGGGCCCCAGGACCCCTGTTAAATCCCGTTTAACGCAAAAACGGGGGCTTGACGTTGAATTCCGAAAAACGGAATTCTCGCTTTGGGCCTCGGACACGTGTGCCTACGTGCCCGAACACTCAAACCTTAAAAAAAAAATAAAAAAAATCACCCTCCTTTGACACCCCCCCCCCAACACCCCTAAAGGACCGAAAAACCCCTATCTGACCCAGAACACACCACCCGGCCCCTCCCCCCAACCTGCACATTCCCACCACGACCCCAACCTCCACTGCACTTCACTGCCCTCAGTGCCCTCACACCCACCCCTGAACAACAGACACTACCC